CGACTATACGATGGTGAACAGGAGCTCCTACTGGTATACAATTTCCCCCACAAAAAGGAGTGTTTCGACACCCCACCCATTCTCACGAACAGCATGGTCCTATATCACTGTGTCGTATCAATCTATCTTTCTACAAATCTATTTGCGGAGTGGCTTTTTCTCCTATAGCTTTTCTGGCAGGTCTGACTTTAGAGGCTCTAAATCCCATTGACTTATAATAAAAAAACTCTTTTTAAATTTTCCGTAGACCGATTTTCCATTTCTTATTTAAATTCCACCAGTGGAAGGTCGAATTTCCATCTTCGTTAAATACCGCCTACATAAGGTCGAATTTCCCTCAATTTACATTCGTATTCTGCGCAACAGCAGTTTATGTTGGCGGAATTTTAATCTTATTTAGTATTTTGATCAATTCCGCCACAATTACATATTCATTTACACTCACTAGCTAAGAACGAAATGTTTGACCACAAAGGCATTGCCTATTATCCTCACCAAATAAACTGAAATACGTGAGGCAGTTGGGCGGGCGACTATATATTTAGAGGGATCTACAAGTCTGTTTTGCCGTTTTTCTGAAAGAGGAGGCTCACTGAGGTCTGCTCCCATCTACACCGTAGGCAATGGTTTCACTATTATTTTCTTGTTTAACCATATTTTCTAAAGATTGCTAACTATTGTTATAAAATACGAATAACTGACGGATGTGAAATACTCCGCCTACAATACTAGTCATTTATGCTTCTGAGGAATCTGTGTCTGTGGTTCCACCAACTTAGTCCATGACTTCCGATCATTTCCCTAAACAAAAATTCTTACATTGAGTCTAAAAATTCCTACTCGTAGGTTTTTCTCGTGTCTAAACGAACAATGGGTGCAGAGTCCGCGTAAGGAATGGAAAGCATCAGCGCAATTGAAGACAAACGCTTTATTGGGGCGTTGTAATAATTCTGCCTAGGGTTGCACATGTCGCCCTCCACGACAAAGGAGTTGTTAAATAAATTGCGGCCATTCCATCCGGTACTACCCAAGGATCCGCGAACACTATTTTAAACGTCTCGGGCATGATTGGCTATGTCTGCTCAATCTGCTTTTGAACAAGTTTCTTTTTGACAGCCTGCAAAACGTGTATTTTGTAAAAAAAATGGCTGTTTAAGAAGTATGCATTTTTCTCGTTAATTTTCACTTAAATGTAGTGCATAGATAGCATGCACAAAAAAATCCTTTCTTGTGCCCATTTGGTAGCAAATCCAATTTTCTTACATTTGTATGCATGAAGAAAGGATATCATTCGGTTTTGAATAAGTTTCTATTTATAAGATGTTTTCTGATTGCTATATTTTTATTCATAAATCACCATACATCCTTAATCATCATATTCATTTGGTTAATGTTGCCCATGAAGTGTAGTGTATTACAGATACTCCTTGCACAATTGTATGAGAAATATATGACCTCTTTTTCATACCGTAGGGTAATATGTACTTTTCCTTATACACAATCTTTTAAAAACAGCAATATATTCTCTCAGGAAGTATAGAAATTAAATAAATCGTAATTTTCTATCAAACGATTACAGAAGGTCCTATTTTTGTGAAGGTTTTCTAAAAATAGCTTTGAATTTCTAAGAGCAGTAAAACTAAATGAGAAAGTGCATATTACGTAGGCAGTCATTTTTTACAAAATAACTTTTTGCAGGTTTTTGAGGTAAAAATTGTTCAAAAGCCGTCATCCTAATGTGAACGAAATAGTTTGAACGTAGACTGGAAAAGCTACTTAAGTAATTTGTTTAAATGGAAAATAAATTTCGGAATTTCGATTGCTGTTTCATGAGATAGGGCATTTACTGTACCTTTATCGGATTAGATTTAAAGCCTTCAAAACTTGTAGAGCATGCTCGAGATTGCCAATTCAATAATGTGAACAGAACTTCACCGGTGTCCCGCACGCTGTGCGCCAGATTTCTTTGATAGTGCGAAGCCTATGGTGCTGACTTATGAGTACTCCTGACTATAAGTAGTATATTGTGGCCTTATGTAAAGGAATTAGATGATCGCTTATTCAGCTAATAAATTCGCGTTTCTGATTCGTTTGCGTTGCCCGCACTGTGAGCTGACCATCCGTTTTTCTTTATAATGAGCCGAGACAGTTTGTTATCGGTAGCTTATTCAACCGCTAACAACGTCCACTAAGCTATATATATCCATATGCAAGTTACGGCGCATATAGTTGTCCGTGACCTCAGAACAGACCCATGCTTCAATAACTAATATTTTTACGCCAACGTACCGTCATTCAATCTCTAAACTACTTGCGGTCCAAGTCGTATTGTTATAGCCGTACGTTATACTATCAATTACATTTTGGAACTCTTGACGGAAACTATTAACGGAATGACGATTAGCAGAGCCACATGTGTACGCGAAGTCATTAATATTTCATATCATCAGAAGTGATTAGGAGAAATAAATTTTTTGACGCATATGGGATCAAAGGTCTGATAGTTAATACCGCTCGCTACAGACGTGTAGGGACTAACATATGAGACAGGTTAGAAGCAACCAGCCAGATTACCTCATCCCAGAGGGGATGATGATGAAGGCTGCGAATGAAGTTCCATATGATCGTGGATATTGCTCTAAATGGAGTTGTATATCTCGAGAAACGAACCACTAGTAGGGCTGGTACCAATAGTTTCACCGGCATCTTAATGGGGGGGATAGCTGAACTTATATACGAGCATGCAAAAAACGGGCAACGGGTCGGGCATATTGACAACCTGTTATGTTTAGTGCCAGTCGCTTATCTCTGTCGTTCAATATACCGACTTCTGGTGGTTTTTTCTCCGCCATCAAGGCGTGCGTAATGAAACAGGGGTGACGATACAGCTTCGTTATAAACGCATCTATGAGCAAGTCATGGCGGCAGCCAGCCGGGCGTGAACTTTACTAATATGAAAAGGATCAAAAATTAATAAGCGAGAATTTTCAATGGCCCTGCAAGATCTTTGGTAATTCAAGCATATAACCTGGAATGAGTGTACAAGAGCACCCTTCACACCACGTTTGGCCATTCCATACCCCTTTTGTCACTATGCAGGAACACTTTTATATTTCAATTATAGCATAGTGCGCATCTACGAGCCTTATTCAGACGATGACATGCTTACTGTTTTAGCCCTTTTATATTCAGGTTTCTGTCATGTTGCCCACAAATTACACAGGCGATTTCTTATCTGTTGGAATGTTCTATATGTGCAGGAAGATCATTTTTTAGCAGCAGTGTGGGATATAGTAATCTACTCTGCGAAGCTGAATAACATGTATTTTTTCTAAATTTACAGGCAAGGGATAGAGTATATTGATATAATCTCAAAGACAGTAGCAACCTGTTTGAAGGCAAAAGCACATAAACCGCTCAAGTGACAAGTTTGAAAGCGAAATAAATACCAGATAAATTCATTATTTGTGCATCCGTCTTGGAGAGGATGATCAAAGTTATGTAAGCGTGAAAAATGTGTACAAGAAACCAAACTAACCCATTTATGGGCCTTATCTTGGGGAAAGTTTTTATCATTCAGATAGCTAAGATGCGATTATCCTTGAGTTTCAGATCAAATGTTCAATTAGAAACTTTTTGAAACCAAAATATAGCCATCTTTCTAGAGTAAAAGTTAAGGAAGACGCAATTTATTATCGAATACAAGGAAGAATAATTTTGCTCCTGCTTTTCTATTAAATATATTTGAATTTGTAAGGGTATCGAAAAGCTATAGCAAATATACTCACTGCTTAAGTAACTATTTCTTATCGAGCAAATATTCACCAGGAATCCGAAAATTCTTTTGTTCCTGGTTTGTGCGTAATATCTTGGAATAATACTCCTAGTTAAAAAGATTTACAGTTCCATTTAAGTAACCACTCCTTATCTAAAACAGTTTGTAAAAGTTTAGGTAATATTGCACGAGGGTGATCATTGACTGTAAGTTCTCTTAATAAGAATCTGTTCATAGGTGAAATATTCACAACCAAATAACAAAGGAGTCCCAATCAAGAACCAGCATACTATCGGGAATTTCTTAAATAAGCCTAATTTTGTGGCTTAGCCAACCTTATTAACCCGTTGAGAGCCAGTTAAAAATAATCCATATTGATTTTGCAAGTTTTGATGTTTACTGCGGTTCATTCTTCGCGTGTAAAGGACTTAACAGCGGCACGAATGATAGCCTTATCGAGACGAAAGTCGTAGCAACCATTTGGACAAATGCACAGCTAACTGTAGCACGCGTTATTGCGTACCCTTCTTCGAAAGCCTGGTGAAATGTATACGAAAATGCAAATTTAACCAAGTTGACACTACACAGATTAGGAATTCTTTTCCAGGCGAGGCATTCATCGCTGAGTAAAATGAGACTTAAGAAAACCCAGCAGACTATGAGCGAGGGCTTACAAGTAAATCAGATTTAAAAGTTGTAAAAATGTCCAGCAGAGAAATCAGAGTCTTACACCCTTTTATAACCAATTGAGAGTGTGGTAAACGTGTTGGTAAAAGTTTCATGGGTGTCTATGCGCACTAGATGATCATCCTCCGTTGAAGAAGAAGGTGGAAACTGAAAGAACCCTAAGAATCTAAAATACACGCACTATTACATATGCGGAGGGATATACTTAAAACCGCAGTATAAACCACTTATATATGGGTCCGCTTTTCTAACCCCACTCTGATGAATCTAGGAGAATTTTGAGAGGAAAGCACTGGATGGGGTTTTCTTCCACAGTGACCAGTCCGTCACCCCACCCCTATTGCGTAAGGTATTTTAATGGGACGAAATGCATTGCTTGGATTGGGAAACGCCCAATTCCCCTCAGCTGGTAGGTATTTACTCGGACGCATTACTCTGCTGGAGACAAGTACGTGCCTGGCAATTTGAGTCCCGGTCGAATAAGTTACAAAAGTTAACAGAGAAGACTGTAGTTGCAGAGGTTGCTCGAACTCGCACCATGAAGATTACTGCTTGGCATAACCCTTTAACCTTTACCGCAATCATTTCAGCCATTTTATTCTTCCTCACTTCTCCACACCTAGAAGCGTATGGTCACCGGCGCTACAAACTACAGCTGGTCAGATTTAATGATTCTGAAACCTGTTTGGATGAGTTCAAGGTCTTCAACCTCGCATCAACGACGAGCTATGCTCTTAATTATGCTACCATGGGGAATGGTGCGGAGTTTGACAGGAATGCAATCCAGGAATTCGTGATACCCGTTAAAGGTTGCAGTATTCGGGATGCTGCACGTAATCAGGGTCTACTTGATGCGCTAAATGAGGCCGACAGACTCGCCTCTCTACCACGCGGATTCACCGTGCTTATCGGGCCAGCTCTGCCAGCAGACTGCAACTTTGTTACTGACTGGATCAGAGAGGGTGAAGTGGTGGACATCTTTGGTCTATACCAAATCCAGTATAACTGTCGTCTGAATGGACTAGTTCAGCCCTCTGTTCAAGTTGATATTTCAAATTCCACAGAACATATGACGGGTGATCTGGTGGCCCTCTCGATGACTATTCAACTGTCTACGCTAGTGGCGGCGCTAAACGTATTTCTGCGACACTACGGGTGGCAACGAATTGCAGTCTTCTACGAGGTAAGTCTAGAAAGCCTGCAGAATAGGTTAGTGGCGGAGCGGCTGCAAGTCTTCTTCGCCTCCTTGCCAACAGCCACGGACAACCTGGAGATTGTGGCCTTTCGAAGCATCCGCTGGGGTTCGCAGCCAAGCTGGTATCTGCAAAATTTTACCCAACCCGTTGATGGTAAGTTGGACAGTTTAATTTTACTAAATTCTCAAGTAGTTAGTCATTGCGAGGCCATTACCTACATTTTTTGCAGGTTTCACAGTAATTGTTGGTCAAACCACGCTTTTACTACTGTTTCTAATGATGGGTTCGAGAAGGAATTCGAAACGTCAGGCGACTAAGGTTCTTGTCCCAGTAATCGAATCTATCTCCAGTGAAATGAGTTTTGTAGGCAAATATTGCCTGTAATTAATGCACATTTACGTTAGTAAAAACTAACATCAGACCAGGTAACAGCACATTGCTGCGAGAGTCGAGTTTTCATTAAAACGTGTCACGCAAATACAAACCCCATTATCACAAAAGATGCCAAAAATATCCCTTGTAGCTATAAGAAACGCCCGCAATGGAAACTCCTAGAATCCCTAATGCTCTAGTTTTTCTCTTGGCTCTGAAAAGTAGTGCTCCATTTTTAGGACATTTCACCGTAAGACAGAGACACCTGGACATCAGAAACTTTGGTAGGTGTGCCCTGTATCTGATCGGTGAACGCCTATCTACTAACAGTGCTCCATGTTTACATGGTTTTTCCACTTATGATTTAGCTATCGATTTGTTTCGTTTACTTATACAATATCCACATACAAAAAAACTTGCCGTTGTACATCTAGTCAATTGGCTAGCTTGAATTAAGCACGAAAATTCAACCCACAACGCATCTCAAAAGTCGTACAGCAATAAATGATCAATCATTCTAAAACATAGAGCACATTGCAGTTCATAAAAACAATATTACATTGTTAGAAATACCAACGTTTACAGAAAAGCGGCAGATTACGAAAAAGTGAAAAATCGGAATTACTAAGAAAACTTAATTTTCAAATGTACAGAAGCCCTGTTCATGCATAAAAGCAGAGTGGGAACAAAAACAGCAGAAGTGGAACTGTGTTTGAAAATAGTCCTTTGTGAATTTTGGCACTTGATCTGTTTGATATAACGCGCAAGATAAAGTACAGCCACCACCAAGCTACTAAAAGTTCGAGTGTGTATTCTAATATGGGTCTTTCTTCCTTTTTCACACTGTATGAAATACGTTGAAGCGAGGCCACCATATTTTTGCTTGGTTGCACCGATAAGAATATCGCAGAAATAAGAGATTTTATAAGCTCATATGTAGAAATGCCTTGCATGTTGATAATTTGTTGAACAGCACATAAGCTCTGACCTGCTGAACTTTCAACACGCGTGGTGTACTCAGGCGACAGCAAATCAAATTAGAAATTATTCATTAATTGAAAAAAAACGCTTTTTTAAATCCGATAAGTATCCTTTTAAGTTGTTACCAAGTGAGTACAAAAAGGAATATTTTGTGCTTGTCTTCTGTAAAATATATTTAAATGTATTAGGTTATGAAAAATAAAGGAAAAAATTCCTACGGTAGACTTACTGATGTTTTACCGCGGTTCGCAAAAACCTCCTTTAGGAGCAGACGCTCTATCTTTACAGAGATGTCTGGGAATTATGGTACCATAACAAAATAATCTTTATTAGGGGGTTTGGCAAATTTACTTAATTGTAGTTGACCCAATTGTGAAAAAACTTGCTGCATTTGGCGAGATTTGAACCCGCATTGTAGGGAAGGCCTTAACCGGAAGCCAATGCTCTACCATTAAGCTACAAATGCATTTGTAGTGGTAGTGCGTTGGCTGCGTAAAGGCCTTTCCTACTTATGCGGGTTCAAATCCCGCCAAATGCCACGAGTTTTTTTTCAAAATTGGGTCAAATAGAAAAATATTCTTTGCTAATCAAAAGTACATTTTGAAATTTCGATCAACATTTCTTGAGATAATACATCTCCGTTAGGTGGCCTTCCGATAACTTTTAGGGATATGGTTGGGGTTAAATGCTTAACGTTTGGGTAGAGTCAAGAGTGAGCTTTAAGTGGTAGGTGGGGTTGAGGACGTGTGAGGGTTACAGTTATTTTCCAGTTTTGTGTTAGAATAAACGTCGGTGTTAGGGGTAGAGCACGGGAATATGTAGAATGCCTGTAATTTTGCGCAAATTCACATGTATTACTAGCCGGCTGCTCTTACTTGGTTGTCTCATCGCTACTTCATTTCAAAGTGCAAAATTAAGAGGAAGATTCGATCGCTGGGACAATAATTCTACACGTCCCTTATCACGTCAGGTTGTCAGAGGAAAGTGTGCTGAGCCGCCGACGTCGCTCTGTCCCTCACCTCCAGTATCAGGCCACCGTCCAAGCCGGTCAGTTCTCTGATGCGAGGTGGTCGATATTTTGATTACAAAATGTGAGGAAAAAAGGAACTTCCGTTTGAAGACCACGCGAACGTGAGCTCACCCGTCACAAAGCTATCATGTCCTCTGTATCGTGCACGCATCATGCTAGGATGCGGGCTTTTAAACGAGTTCCGTTCTGACCACTAACAAAACGTATGTACTGTAAATGTAAGTAATTAAATAGTATCCGTTTATATCATTGGTTTTGACGGCCCTTAAAAATTCAAATATAGTTTATGGAAAAAATGCACAAAAAATTATTTTTTGTACCGATTTGGTAGCAAAATAGGCCTTTTTTTAAATGTAATACTTCAACAAAGGGTATATTTTGGTATTAAACAGTTTCTAAATTATCGAATAATTTTGAAACCTACTGACTGTTACACTCGAATTCAGGGTTCACAAACTGCACACTGCGTACATCCTGTTTAAGGAAAAGTACGTTTTCACCTACAGTTTGAGGAAGAACTCACATTGTTCTCATAAAATGTTGCAATAGTTGTGGAATATGCTTTATACAATATAGGCAGCATTAATAAATTGACGGATACGATGCATTGTGAATTAACACACCTCACAATCGTAAAAAAGCTCATAATTAGACATTTTTCGAAAAACCGAAGGATACCCTTTCTTTAAGTTTAAAATCTAAAAAAGCGGAATTTGCTATCGAAATAGTACAAGAAATAATTCTTTCGCACATTTTTTCCATAATACATATTTGAATTTATAAAGGCAATCAAATTCAATGATAAATGTGCATGCTATTTAAGTAGTTACTCTTTACACTAAATGCATTTTTAGTGGTCAGAACGAAGGTCGTTGAAAAGCCCGCATTCTATCATGACTGAACTAACTCCAAAGTAGGCTACATGATAATCAGTATCACAACCTGAATCAATGCCGATTAGCGAAAGAGTATTAATCTTTCGCATGTCGACATGTTGCACGAATTCTGGCGCCTACTGTGGAACAGACATTAAGCTTGTGATTTAGATAAGTGATTAAATGTGCAATTTTTCCTAGCTGCCAGTCGATTTGAATGTAAAATGAGTTAGTAAATGACTTGTGTATTTGTGCCTTCTATGCGGCCGGTTGTAAGGACTCCTCAGACCATAATCGAAGTGCATAAAATCACTGAACAATATCCACACTTCGTAGTTACGAAATTGCACATCGAATTCTCGAAAGTATTGTTGGCTTAACTGATGAATGGTCGCCGCGATTATTTTAAGCTTATAATGGACAGATTAAATCGAGAAGACCATCTGGCGAGCATATACGTACCTCCATTAAATTCTCGTCGGGCTGGGACCTTTATATGGCAATGGGGTACAAGATGAAACATGTAGTCAGTAATGCTCCTCTCTTCGTACAAATGTGTCGTGACCATCGACGGGTAAGTATTCTCACATGCCAATCGGATCGAATATGAGTATAAATAGGATCAGTATCGTCCAGTGAATAATTTGCCATAAATTTTCACTGTCATATTTTTATTTAACGCGCGAACGGCTGTAAATGTTAGGAGCCTAGCCTAACTGAATGCCAGCATAACCTTGCAGGCTGTCTTGACACCTCGAGCCTGTGGGCAACTGCCTACAACGATTCCTCGCTCAACAGCGGGCTGCC